AGCTGCCGTCCGCTACTGCCTGCGGGCTACCGCCTTCCACTCCAGCATCTCCACCAGCACCTCCACCAGCATCTCCACCAGTATCTCTACATGACCGCGGGCCTCTCAGAGGTGTTGGCCTTGGTACTGCAGGTGGTGCTTCATATGGTGCTATAGATGGAGCTGCAGCGTGTGATGTCCGACGAGGAGGCACTGCCAACCGCGGGAATTGGCCTCTCGGAGGTGGTGGCCCTGGTGCTGCGGATGGTGCGGCAGATGGAGCTGCAGCGTGTGATGGCAGGCGAGGAGGCGCTGACGGCAGTGGGCTTCTCGGGGCTGGTAAGCATGAGGTACCGGATCACGCGGAGCTGACGGCGAGAAGACGCTGCCGACCGCAGGCCTCTACCCTCGTGGCTGCTCAGCTTCTCTCAGACGGACCTGTAAAAGGGCATTACCTCGATCCCAATAGCATAACCGGGCGGAGCATCAGGACTGGGCGCAGGCCGTGCCCCAGCCCACAGGAAAATACGGACATCCCTTGCTCGCATCGTCATGGACCCTTCATGCTGCGCTTGTGGAGACGACAAAAAGCGTGTTGCGAGAAAACCCATGAAAACAAGCGTCTCACTTCAGGTGGCTGGGGGTCTTCTGCATTTCCAAATATTTGGCGATGCAAAGGGATGTTGAGGCAGAGATGCAGGAGATCTTGGCATCGCATGTTCATGCGACAACTCTATGGAGAAGGCAACTAAGAAGACAGATCTATGGGGCAGGCAGCTTGGACCACTGTTTGGGGAAGGCAACTAAGACAACTGTTTGGGGTAGGCAACTAATGCGACAGCTCTACGGGGCAGGCAAAGCACGGCAGAGACGATCACCCGCCTAATATAGCAGTGCCGGACGGTATAGCCTCGAACATCCGACCCACGCCGGTAAAGCCTCGAGCACCCGACCCACGCGGTATACCCTCGAACACCCGACCCACGCGGTATAGCCTCGAACATCCGACCCACGCCGGTATAGCCTCGAGCACCCGACCCACGCGGTATACCCTCGAACACCCGACTCACGAGGTATAGCCTCGAACATCCGACCCACGCGATATAGCCTCGAACATCCGACCCACGCGGTATACCCTCGAACATCCGACCCACGCCGGTATAGCCTCGAGCACCCGACCCACGCCGGTATAGCCTCGAGCACCCGACCCACGCCGGTATAGCCTCGAACACCCGACCCACGCGGTATACCCTCGAACATCCGACCCACGCCGGTATACCCTCGAACACCCGACCCACGCGGTATAGCCTCGAACACCTGACCCACACGCACGCATTCTTGCAATGTAAACGTCATATCATTTACATTGCACACAATGTAAATGACATGCCGAACTTAAGTAGTAAACTCTTACCTGCCTAATGTTATAATGGCATGTACCTGCCCATTGTAAATGATCAATAAATGATAAACATAAAGCAACAGCTGTATCAATACAATGCAAGAAATAACAAGGAATGGAAATGGCATCGAAGGAGGATGGCAATGTTCACGGCATAGCATGAGCTCCCCCTCCCGCCACAGCAGCCTAGGCAGCTTTATATAAAACCAGGCTAAATATGCCAACAGTGTGTATATAACAGCACACGAGGAAGGAGTGCGTGCACGACTCTCAGTTGCCATATTTTGTCCAGCATAGTTTGTGTCGTTTCACGCACGGCAATAGCGTAGATCAGTAAGGATCCACCGGATGGAAAATGCGTCTCACAAACAGCATTTGCACACCATTCGGTAAGCGCTGCCGCCAGCCTGCATTGGTGTATTGTATTTGGCAGGTTGAGATGCAGGCTTGCAGTAAGCACCACGCACCAGAAGGTGCAACAGATCAAGGGATTTTCACCCTAGCCCATTCGGATGTATTGTTTTTATGTTGCGATGTCTCCGCGTGTTGAAGCTTATGCTTTCGACTGTTCTCAAGTGTGTTCATTCCACCCGCACACAAAAAAGGCCACTAGAAAACACCACCATACTTTTGCACAGAACCATCATCGAGGAACGTGAGCGTAAATTGCAGTGATAGTTCTGCACGCCCCGCGTGTATGCAGCAATACGCTGCGTGCTAACTAATACAGCGTTAGTACAAGGGCCTGCCATTTTAAATGTCTGTGGTTAAGTCATGGCCAATAACGCCTAGAAGCCATTTTTCCACCAAAGTCCAATTCGAATTTTCCAAAGCTGTTTTGAAAACGTTTCAACTCATGTGTTGTTCTGAACTTGTCTGCGAAAAGTTAACACACCATCCGCTTTGTCGCTAAGACATAAGACCTGCACTGTTCTGACATGCTTGCGGAATGTCGGCACACCATCTGCTTTGTCACCGAGCGGTACACCGGCTAGGTCAGCGGCACACCACCTGCTTCGTCACCGAGCGGCACACCGGGTAGGTCAGCGGCGCACCATCTGCTTTGTCACCGAGCGGCACACCGGATAGGCCAGCGGCGCACCATCTGCTTCGTCACCGAGCGGTACACCGGGTAGGTCAGCGGCGCACCATCTGCTTCGTCACCGAGCGGCACACCGGGTAGGCCAGCGGCGCACCATCTGCTTTGTCACCGAGCGGCACACCGGGTAGGTCAGCGGCGCACCATCTGCTTCGTCACCGAGCGGCACACCGGGTAGGTCAGCGTAGCGTCAAGACCGGGATATTTAGCAGAAAACACCAGAACAATCACTGGACCATTGTAATCGTAACCAGCGATTAGGCACCCGCCAACTACCAGCAGTCTCCACTGTATGTCTTCCACGTGTAGTGTGCTTATGATGTCGATACAGTTATGACTAACAAAACGTGTCAGACTTTTTGAATGTGTCGGAGAACTATGAAGCAGCTTGGACCTACACGGACCTACACGCTTGTGTTTTAAAATAATATTGATGGGAAGAGTACTCATGTCCACAGCTTTTCATCAACCAAACTTTTGATTAATTTTACTTGATAAGTTTATATTTTCCTCACCGAAAGGATAGTCAGGTCTCCAAGTACATGTCTATCCGTTGTAGCTTTAAGTAGCGCACTAATAGATAGACAAATTTTCATCGGAATTGATTTCACCCTCGCCCTCATAAAGGGAGGAGGGGGAGGGGCTCAACGCGACCCACTCCCAGAACTTGTATTGATGATACCCTCCGGTATATTGTGCGATGGCACCCAGGTTTTCAGTAGCCTGTGGGCATAAAGAGTACATTGGCAATATTCACGAATTAGAAAGCTTTATGGGCATCGCAGAGACAGAGGATACGGTTACCAATTTGCAGAGGTGGCTCTTGCGCTTCCCTTAGCTGTGCCACGTGCACACGGTTTTGTTCTGAAATGTTACGGTACCGCTCCCTGATCACAAATATATTGAGACATAGAGGGACGTGGAGATTGCAGGAGCTTTTCAGCAGGGACGTATGTGAAGGAATCACGGCCCCTATGGTGGTGGGCGATAAATCATTTGCTCCTAATGCCACGCATGATAATCACCCGAGATTGCGGACTGGTTGTAAATCTGCTGCTGATTCTTCAGTCTTTAGCCATTGCGGACTGAGAAGCCATTTTTAAGCCCGAAGACCCGCAAAGCGCGAGTGAAGAAAGTTTAAAAGCGTAGTCAACAGCGCTTGAGGACCGCAGAATCTGCTGCTGGCTCTGCAGACTTCAGATAGCACTTCGGCACTCAGCCAACGCTTCAGCAGACAGCAGCTTGTACCACTGCCCACTTTAGCTAATGTTTTTGCCAACTTCAGCTGGTACGTCTACAGCCTTCAGCCAGTAATCCTGCAGACCTCAGCTAGTACTTCTGCAGACTTCAGCAGGAATGCTGCGGACTTCAGCGGGCAGAATCTCGGCTTTAGATCCGGGCTCATGTCGGTTCAGGCACGACAACGGCTTTTTAGGGATGGAATATGGCACTTTATTTTACTACCGACTGAGGTGCAGCCTAGGGAAGCAACCTCCTTCCTTTGGTCCACACTTTCGCCTGTTTTTACCATAGATGGCGCGTGAGAGAAAATGTAAAATCACCGTGATACCCCTCCACTGAATTCCACTCAACCACATTTGAAAAACATCCTATCTATGGACCCGCTGGACTCCGTTTCGGAATGCGTTAAGGATGTAATACCAGACTGAATTGTAAAGTATCGCTTTCCCAAAGAAAAACTGTTGCATTAGTTTAATTCAGCTGAAAAGCCTTTGAAGCTGCATTCGAGGCTCATATACAATTTACTGTCGCTTTGTGTTGTTTTGAACAATTAAAAAAAAAACGTAACAGTACGTTCGTGTTTACCAGGTTCTAAAGAGTTCAGGAGTTTGAGGCGTCATTAATTTTCTGTTGCTGTATTTTCTAGTTATGTTATGGCCGTTGGCGAGTGTTTCCCCAACCCGGCCAAACCGGACGCCAAGTTAGACCAACGCTCGGTCCGCCGCCAGGCCGACGGCGCGCGACAGGTGGCGCTGATGATGGCGTCTCCAGCGAATAGATGGCGTTACCTGCCCTCCAACTGGCGTCAAAGGAGACTGTGGGGCTCTCGCCCCTGGCGGCCGGCGTCGGTACCGGTATGTGCATAGCACGGCATATCATTTAAACGATACGAAGCTGAATGTCGCGAATTTAAAACGCGCAGGGACTCTCTCCCCGCTTGAGAACTTGCGACTAGTGCTATGAGGACGGAGCAAGTTCTTTGAGGCCTTTGCATCCGTCGCTTGCACTTTCCACATCCGCTTCTTTTTGCAAATCAGCCAGCGATGGTTGCTTTGCAAAAGCATACAACACCTGGACGATGCAGCCTTGGTGCACACCTCGCAACACCTGGACGGAGACAGCCCTGTGCGGAGCGTTTGGCTGTCATGGAGCCTCCCGTTCTGCTAGCCGTGCGTCTGCGGACCGTCGTCTCCGTCTCCGTTGCCCATAACGTGCCTGAGGGCATGCTGCGCATTCGCAACCAGCTGCCGGCGTCATTCGCAGCGCACATCTCAATGCGCAGGAAACTGCCGCTGTGTATTTTCCAACACCAGCATGGCATGGCTCCGCGCCATGTGGTGCTGACTCATCGCACAACCGTGGGACACTGAAAGCACATCAAAATATGTATATATAGCGCACAAAACCACGGCTTCCGCCGCCGCTCGTCGTCGAGGGACCTGCGCCGACCCCTGTTCAGTGTGTTCCTGAAGGCGACAGACGGCGACGGACGGGTCGAGGCTGTCGCCGACTGCGAGCCGCCGACCAAAGTGAGCTAACCTCAGACTTGCGGCAGGTTGGGCGGCGGCGGACTGGGACTGCAGCTCTGCAACAGCGGAGCGCGGTCAGCAGTCGACAACAGACAACAGAGGGCAGTGGACAGTGCAGTAACAGTAAACGGGCCGCCGGCCTCCGGGACCGCGCCCAGGCAGCAGCCGGCAGATGGCCCGCACAACACGGACGACCCGGGACCGCACCTCAGCAGCAGCCGGCAGATCGCCGCCCACTCTGCCACACACAACGCACAACCCAGACGACACGGGACCGCACCCGAGCAGCAGCCGGCAGGTCGCTGCCCGCTCTGCCACACACACCGCACAACACAAACGACACGGGGCAAACACCACCAGACGTCACCGGAAACACGCCCGGCCCTGTCTGGCAAACTTGGTGACGTCACCTGACCGTCGTGACGTCACCTGACAGCCGTCACGGCAGCGGTCCGGGGCAGACGGGCCGGTCCGGCCGGCGCCTGGTCTCCCGGCGCTGACGCAGCAGCGCTGGGCGATGGATCACACGCGTTCCGCTCCGCCGCCACCGACGGGCATAGCGTCCCCAAACAAACCGACCTGAGCGTCAGCACCGCTCGTTTGTAAACTCTGACTACGATTCACGCCGCGACGATCCGCTGCGATTCACCCGAACCGCATCACTAAGTTTGGGGTCCGCATGAGCTGCATTATCAAGCTAGGTATTCACCCGAACCGCATCACTAAGGTTAGGTTCCGCCTGAGTCGCATTATCAAGCTAGGTATTCACCCAAACCGCATCACTAAGCTTAGGTTCCGCCTGAGCTAGCTGCATTATCAAGCTAGGTATTCACCCAAACCGCATCACTAAGCTTAGGTTCCACCTGAGCTGCATTATCAAGCTAGGTATTCACCCAAACCGCATCACTAAGCTTAGGTTCCACCTGAGCTGCATTATCAAGCTAGGTATTCACCCAAACCGCATCACTAAGCTTAGGTTCCGCCTGAGCTAGCTGCATTATCAAGCTAGGTATTCACCCAAACCGCATCACTAAGCTTAGGTTCCACCTGAGCTGCATTATCAAGCTAGGTATTCACCCAAACCGCGTCAATAAGGTTAGGTTCCACCTGAGTCGCATTATCAAGCTAGGCATTCACTCGAGCCGCATCACCAAGCTTAGGCTCCACCTGAGCCGCCTTATCAAGCTAGGCATTCCCCCGAACCGCATCACTAATCTTAGGTTCTACCTAAGCTGTATTATCAAGCTAGGTATTTACCCAAACCGCATCACCACGCTAAACATTCACCCGAGCCTTTTCCACAAGCTAAGGGTTCACCTCAGCCGCATCGCAAAATTAAGCGTAGCTTCTGGGATGTGGTATGGCAACCACTCTATTCGTACCAGTTCTGATGTTACTCACTTTTGTGAATCTGTCGTCAATGCCATTTGTTGTTATGGCGGTTTTATCAGCTTTTTGGATTGTTCTAATGCCACTGTGACATCACTGAGGCTTCCGGTCTTCCATGTTGGGCTCCGCCAAAAGCATGACAAGAGGAAAAGGGGGGCGGGGGGGGGGGGCACTCACTCCGATTTTATTTGACACCAGCAACCCTGTTGAGCACATGGATCCGAACATGACGAGTGCACCATCTTATTTGGTTTTCTCATGAGCTTTCACTGAGGTTTTCCGCCTCTCATCCCCACAAAAAATGAAATTCTGACTACGCAGAAGCACAGACTGTGCAAAGACACAGCGTTTTCCCGACGAGAGCCGCTAGTTGTTTAACAGCACCTCACTACAGACAAATACGCTGCCGGTAAGTGCTCGTGCCTTACTCCGGCGAACTGTGACTGTGACATCACCGCTTGAGTTTCAAGCCACGAGCAGTGAAGCCCTCCACGTGATTAACCCTGCAAGAGCTTTGGGCTTGCGCGCCCATCAGATGGCAGAGGTCAAGACATGTGACAGAAGAGGGTTTGGCTCTGAGAGAAGGTGAAAGATGCCAGCATTGTGATGGCAAATTGTCGAATCACGTAAAAATAAAAAGCAAGAACACTTTCCAACATCACTACTCGCACCCTATTAATAGTTACGTCATTTATTCTGCGTTGTCTGTATGCCTTTCATTCTTCATCTGACATGTGCTCATCGCTCAATCGCCCATGGCCCTAATCACCACCCACCCCGCCATAAACATTTGAATGAATTGTTCCACATTTGAATTATATTTCAAGTTGAAATAACCGTCTTGAAGATCATTCGGTGCAGCTCACAGCTCTGCACTGCTTAAGGCACCACACCCTCTAGTTTCTAAGCTACACGTCCGCAAAGATGCGCAGACGGTTTCGTGCAGACTTCTGAAAGGTCGTTCAGGCACGCATGACGCCGTGGTAACGTCATTCAAATTCTGCCACCCCGCATGGAAGGCGATGTTCAAGACCCGTGACCCGTGGCAAGGTCCCGTGACCCGTGGCAGTGCAATGGCAATGTCCATGAGTGCGTTTTCTAAATATCGTGGACGTCAATTGGGTCTAAAACAGCGTTAAGCAAATTGTGCAAGCCTAAATCACGAAACACGTTTTGTGATACAGAGCGTAATAAGTTGGAGATGGTTTTTTCGCTTGCTAATTATTACGGACATGATACTTGTAATCGAGTCACTTAAGAATAACCCCATGAACGAGTATGTGAAGACAAGTAAACATTTCAAATTAACGGGTAAACACATAATGAACACCACGAGAAAGGGTCAAAATACGAGCATAAAAGGATATTTAGCTCAGAGAAAACTTCCGGACCGTGCTGCCATCTCTCGACGAGCTTGAAGGGCTACAAGTAAGTCGCAAATTCGCACGGCTAATTTGGCAGTGCCTCAACGTTGTACCGACATTCCCCAACGCAATGTAAAAACGACGCATTTTTTATTATAAATTTGGTCCGAATCCCTTGAATGAATGGATTTCTGGGATCAGCGCTCACGCTAAGCAGTGCTTGTTGTGTGAGCCCTGACCCCCACCATCCGATCGCGCAATTCCAGGCAACGGCATAATTTAGTGGCGAAAGCTAAACGTGCCGCAATGCTCGGCACGGTCTGTCCTGCCCTCTGACGTCAACTGACCGTTAGCGCGACCGCTGCCACCGGCCGCAGGCCATACCTGCCAAAGGCAAATAGCGAGCGCCCTAAAGCGACTTGAACCCATCCCGCCAAGGGTGGGCGGGTCGGAATGCAGGCGCTCGAACCAACTGAGCCACCGGGACGGACAAGAGTTGAAGAGAATAGTTACTTAACAGATACACCTTGTTGTCTAAAACGGTGTTTTTCACTCAAAAATGCACCAATAGTTATGAGTCGGCTTATTTCATCATCTGATGCTTGCTTCGGCAATGTAAAATGTGAAACGGTTGAAAAATTTACATGTTTAGCACTGTTGCGTGGTCATAAATGAACGAAGCTTCTACATTGTTCAGTTTTCTTGGGTTGTTTGCAGATGTTGAAGCTTAGGTGTTTTGTTTGAGCATTTGGTGTGTGAGATGAGTTTTGTTATCCCATTGCATATGGCCTCTTGGTGCTCATTCTGTAAGGTGCATTGTGAGGTGTGACGACAAAGATGTTGTTGCACCATGAAGGGTCCGGACGGAGTTTGAACATCGTTGTCCCGGTTGGGTTGTTTTTCTAATAAGATCCCTATTTTTTCGTTTTTCTTGCAAGATATCGCCAATCTAAGCAAATTCCCGTCTACCTCTGGTACGCTTTTAGACTCACCGAGAGCATTTTTTGGAACACCGAAAGCATCGAAATTTTAAAATCTGTAAACGACGTGGGAACTCAACATTCTGTAAGCTTTCCTCACACATGACCTCGTATCTGTGCTTAGCAAACAAATGCATCAAATTTTAGATTTTAAATTACACAGACTGTGTCATGATTTCGCATGTTCATTTTGTAGATTATAGTGTATGATGGCATTGACGACTTCTGTACGACCAGGCTATAATCTGTTTAGTCACCAGACCAAAGTGGTGGTGGGTAGAATCCTTTTTTAATGCTTGCATGCTCGCGTTTCATGTTCTGAATTTTGAGGTGTCAGTTGCCCAGATGAGATGAGAAGGTAGATATTCCTTTTGAGAATAGATACAAGATGTGTACGAAACGTTAAACTAAGAATGCATCAGAGCATGACAAAAATCCATTGGGAGCAACTTTTTAAGTTACGAGACGATGTGAAAAGTAATGCTGGAAAGACAAACACTCGACCGGAATTTATATAAAACTTGAGATGCCGTTCTCCTTTATGATCTATATATATATATATATATATATATATATATATATATAAGCAAAAATATCTGTCCAAAATATACCAAAACATACATACACACACACACATATATATATATATATATATATATATATATATATATATATATATATATATGCGTACATACATAAGTGTTTTGAAGACTTTGGCGTGCATTTCCTAAGTTTTTTTCTGCACTGTATAGCACCTACGTCACTGCCCCTACGCCACTGCACCTACTCCAAGAACTTCAAGAACACTTGTATATAAGACAATTTGCTGCCTACATATGTCCATATATATATATATATATATATATATATACATAAAGATCTTAATTACAGACAAAAGTACCTAAAAAAAGACAATGTAATCACCTAATGCATCTCCATTCTTTCATTAGAAAGACCCGACGAAATGGGTTTCCAGCTCTGGCACCATATGAAGCGGGTACACTCTGCTCATGTACCTACATGGCTTTTGAACTGAATGACGTTCCTTTTGTCGACCAGAACGCACCACCGTTAAATCAGCTTGAAATAATTTGAATGTTAAATTTCGAAAACTTGGTTCAACTTCTGGTGCATGCATGTCTGTTGGAAAGAATGAAGCGATTTTTGGCGACATTTCACGCTGTAGTGTAATATAATTGTATTTCACTTAAGTTCATTTTATTTCTAAGTAAGATGACATTCGCGAGTCACGCCGAGCAAACCGGGTGTCCGATCATTAGAAGTCAGCAAGCAATGAAACGTGGGCGCGCGTCAATGACCAAACCATTTGCCGTAATGTGGCCAACACCGTGGCCACACCCCATTCATGTTTACCCACATTGCGTATGGGACGCATGCACGTATCTGCATCTGCTCCCAAGCAGTGTCCATTAATCTGCTCTCAAAAGCACATGTTTCATGTCTCTTTTGTATTCTATATTCATGTCAATTTTAGTGGAAGACACGGTGCGGTGACTGCAATACCATACATACCAAAAACACCAAATGCAGGCTTACTAGGGTGCGCATCTCGTCGGGCTTTATTTGTTTACATAATTGCTTCACATGCCAACACACAAGAAAATAACGAAGTGCCAAAACGAATATGGACCAACGCATGGATGATGAACGGTTCAGCCACATCTGAAGAGAAAATCAAACATGCTTTTTTATAACATAACATGAGAAAACGCAGGATTTGTGTCAACATCAAGCAGCGGTCGGTGTTTCGTGCGGCGCATGCGCTCTAGACCATCCTCCATGCACGCCATGTGTTCCGAGTCGGAAGATTTTCGTCTCATTTCGTTCGCCGCCACCTCACCGAGACAGCAATGTGGGTTACTCGGGCCGGTCGTGCGGCGTACTCAACGGCTGCCGCGCCGCCCTACCGCCCGCCGCGGCCGCATCCGTGCCGCGCGCACGCCTCCGCCCCAGTTGCCCGCGCCCGCCCGTGGTGCCGCACGCGGCCCCGGCCGGGCCTGCACGCGGCGCCGTAGGGCCTGACCCCTGACCCTCCGCGCCCCGGGCGGCGTCTCGGCCCACCGGCCGACCGGCAAACGACGCTGCCGCGTCTCCGCAGTGGAGGTGCCACAGGTGCACGTGCGTGACGTCCGCGCTGGCGTTTCAAGCATCAGTGCCACCACGGCCGGCCGCGCGTGGCCCTACTCACGGGAGTCCGCAGCAGGTCCAGGGTGGACACGTGCGTTAACGAAGGCGTGAAGGACGATTTGGGGGTGCGACCGGACTGCTTCGACGAGTTGGCGGCTGGAACAACACGGATGGGCTGTGGGCGTCTGCTGTCGCGTGATGAGCATCAACCAGGGGTGTCAATTTCTTTAAACTATTGGGGTAGGGGGCGAACCGAAGGCCCGGCAACCTACCCCCCATTTTTCTCACGGGATTTAGACCATTTTGTTCTGATTGAACGCAATATTTATACATATATATATATATATATATATATATATATATATATACATATATATATATATATATATATATATATATATGTATATATGTACATATATATATATATATATATATATATATATATATATATATATAAACATGCATTTCATCTTTGCATGATTTATGAAAGACCTTTCATGTAACCAGTATCGAAGTCACGCAGGGTTGGCTCCAGTTAGCAGGCACTGAACGCACGCGTCTCTTCTGATCGGCAAGTGAAGGCGGGGCCTTCATCGAGGCCACCTTGAGGCGCCGATGGCCGTGGCCATGGTCATGGGAGGCGGCACGTGTTTTGGTTGTAGGGGCGGGGACAGGGCGAGCCGATGAAGGACTTAGGTCATTCCAATATTCCAGAGCCCTTCACTTTAACCTCACAAACCATTGCCTGTCTTATGGCGCTAGGTACGTGAAGTTTTTTGCATCGTTTATCCGTTCGGCTGTTACGATTTGTATCTAGTGGTGAGAGCAGCCATGACTTTGCTATACGAGACGCCACAACGCAGAAAAATCAAAGAAGGTAATCTTTGTGTTATAATTATCTTTTACCCACGTTTTCTGTACTGTTCCAACCGAAAGCATTGGTGGGGCCAAGCCAACATTGGGGGGGGGGGGGGGCGGCAACCCAAAATTGGGGGGCCCGGGCCCTCACAAAAGAATACAAATCGACACCCGTGGCGTAAAAAATCGAGTAATTTTGTTTACGGGTAAATTGGTGGAATGGGTAGTATATGCACAGATGCCCCACGCATGAAAAAACCCACTGCTTGGTTGAGGACGATTATGCAGAAGAGGTCTGTAAATTACACATGTGGCAAATTGACACAAAATGCAATAGACAAACACAAAAGATTTTCACCTGAAACGTATGCTTGAAACCAAGACACCCTAGACGCCCAGATGACCTTAACTTGACCGCTGTCCATTCCAGGAGCTCCCGACCGTGAGGCCCCGAGAGGTGTCCACTAATCGCACGCACGTGCATCCCCAAATCGGGGGAGGGGGAGGGGGGCTTCCTGGAGGCGCCGTGCCTAAGATCGCGGGAGCAGTCTAGACCGTGACCTCACAAACACACTGTGGATGGGGTACAGAGGAGGGAGCCATCGGCGGTCATGGAGATCAGGCTCTCCCGCTCGGGACTCTTGCAAGGTGCATCATGCTACGGTAGAGGCCAGCAGTTTCTGCCGGATTCATTTGCTTTCTGATTGCATGGTGAATAGCGCTAGAGTTCGGGAACGTCTCCGCTGGTGGTGTTCAAGTAAGAAGCCGAATAAGCTAATCTGTAACAAAGTTCTTGCAGGTGGATGACGGGCGGGCGGACGTCTTGCAGGCGGACCCCTTGCCCCTATGCCCCTTGCCCCCACGCCCCTTGCGTGTTGGATAGTCACCAGGTCGCAGGGGTGAGGTACCGTGTGCAGGAGCGCCACAGGAACCACTGCGGCCGCTCCGCAGGACCGCCGCTCCACGCTGGTGCTGCCTCCGCCCGCGTCAGCGCCACCGGACCTACATCCGCACCGGTGTCCAGCGGGCCGACCACAGCCCAAAGCCCGGCCGAAGTTGGCGTACCTACGGTGGTGCTGAGTCCGACCCGCAGTGGTGTTCAGTCTGAACCATCGACGCCCGGGTACACAAATGGCACCGGGTGGTATTCTCATGCTGCTAAGTTGCATCCCCACAACGCTGTAGAATCAATACCCTGAGTCTGTTGACCAATCAGTCTCTACAGCAACAGCTGTATTGTGTTGAGCCCTGATTCATTGCAGTCTGTGTGCCATATGACATTATCTTTTGACTGCGCTGATGCACTTCTTGCCGCCGGCTGTTCGCTCTGCATGTTGCACCTTGTCTGAAGTGTTCACACCACGGCGTGGGGGGACTAATGAAGTGCCAATACAGCGTGCTCTTTACTTCCTGTCCGCTAATGCTGACGCGAGAATCTGGCGGTACCTTACATGCCCGGGGTACAATAATTTCTAGTACCTCACCTACTCGGGGTGCAACAGTCTCCAGTATCTCACCTGCCCCAGGTACAACAGTCTCCAGTACCTCAGCTGCTCGGGGTGCGACAGTCTCCAGTGCCTCACCTGCCCGGTACACCTCCCTGCTCGGAGTATATCCATTCCTGGTGGCGGGGATACCTCAGCCCCGGTCCAGCTCACCTGCGCCCGGTACGTTGGGCAGCGAGAGGCCGGGCCGGGCGCGGGCCTCGGACGTCCTCCGCTGCTGCAGCGCGCGCTCGACGGTCGCCAGCCGCGGCGACAGTTTCTCGGAGAGGGCGGCGTGCCCCCGGGCTGTGACCTCCTGGCAGGTGGAGCAGGCCGGCGTCTCCCTGCCCCGGCGCAGAACGGCCGGCGAGCGGCTGCCGGCCACCGGCGCCAGAGGTCGCGGCCGCTCCGAGGACCGGTGCAGCAGGGCAGTCAGCGGGTCACTGTCGGGGGCGGGGGCAGGTCAGCATCCGGAGCTCCGACGCCGCGTCGGGTCACCACCAGGTGCACTGCTGTCGTACAAGACGACCCGAGCGCTGATTCCAAGTGGGTCAGATTCAAAACCGATTCCAAACGGGCTGCCGGTTTGAGCGCCGTTGCGCTCGGCGATGCCGTTCCGAGCACCAGAGCGCACAGCATACACCCGGACATTACATCGCTGGGTGGAGCTGCGCGGTCAGCTGACCTGGCCAGACCGGGCACGCCCCAGCCGATGAGAGTGTCCTTGACCCAGCCGTGGGAGGGTGCTGCCGGCGGCGGCGGCGGCGGCGGCGGCGGCTCGGCGATCGGCGGGATGGCCGTCGACGGCTCCGGCCGGCTGTCGGCCGGCTCTGGCCGCTGCGAGCCGACCAGGCGGCCCACCGAGATCCGGGCCTGGCTCTGCCTGCGACCGACGGCGCCGAGGGTCAGGCGGAGAGGCGCTCAGCGTCAGGCGGAGAGGCGTTCAGCGTCAGGGGAAGAGGCGCTCAGCGTCAGGCGGAGAGGCGCTCAGCGTCAGACGCAGAGGCGCTCAGCGTCAGGGGAAGAGGCGCTCAGCGTCAGGGGAAGAGGCGCTCAGCGTCAGGCGGAGAGGCGCTCAGGGTCAGACGGAGGGGTGCTCAAGGTCAGACGGAGGGGTGCTCATGGTCAGACGGAGAGGCGTCCAGGGTCAGGCGGAGAGGCGCTCAGTCAGGGGGAGGGGCGCTCAGAGTCAGGCGGAGAGGGGCCGAGTGGAGCTAGCTCGGACCAGGGCACAGACGTCAGCTCTCACCACAGAGGGCTGTGCAGGGTTGGAGCTAGCGGTGCGGCATCAGGACCCACAGCAGTGGTCAGAGCCACATCCGAGGGTCAGGACTAACAGCAAAGAGTCAGGGCCAAAAGCAGTGTCAGGGCCCATAGCAGAGGCTCAGGGCCCACAACAGAGGGTCAGAGCCGACAAAAGGGGGTCAAGGCTAAAACGCCATCACCCCTGGCGGACAACTACCGTCTGGTCTATTACCATGGGAGCATCACTGAACTGCTCGGCAGGGAGGGACGCGCTAGGACCATGCTGAGTTGTTCAATGTAGCGGGGATTGTCCCAGGGAAATACGGCGATCCGCGTGTGACAGATATGCCAGATACCATTACGACGAAGCTGCACTCTTCTGTCTGCGTTGATGTAATCTGTATTAGTCGTGGTAGCCGGAACATTGATTACCAAGCATTTGGTATCGACTGATACCGAATGGGGCAACATTCTTCTTTAAAACAATACGACGGCATTCAGCTACCTTTTCCCACTGGAAAAAGTTCGCAAGTTCAGCCGGCCGCCGGCGAACTTGTCTGGCACGTGTCAGACCCACGTTCTGCGCTGTCCTGCGCAGCGAACCACGGGAAAATGTTCGAAAGATTCGGCTCGAAAAGGTGTACGGCTTCCTCGTGGGCGACACACACTGACGGCAGCAGTCGAGGGACAGAGCTGGGGAGCTTTCGCTCGAATTATCAGAGTTATATCAGAGCCGGATCATCGCCTCTGAGTTTGGTTACCTGTATGGCGAGGTCTTCAGCGGGTCGCGGCTGTCTTTTTCGTTTTTGCCGTCTTGGTTCTCTTGGTTTTCTTTATTCAATGCCAGCTTGTTGCTTTTTCGTTTCTTGCCTATTGTGAGGCTGCCAAATTTTCTTCCCAGTGAATTGGACGTGAATTCCTGAAGCAAAGTAATAAATGAGGTGGGCCAACGTTGGATGTTCCGTGTCTATACAGTCGCGTCAATCAGAAAACATCTTGAAATATTGCATTGTATCAAGAAAGCAAGACGTTGCACTTCGCTTCACTGACACCTGGCCGTCATTAACACGCGCCCGGATGGCCGGTTGGATACCCTTCGCTCGGGTGGGGAGCAAATTGGCCTCCCCTGAGATCTCAGGAACTACGAAAACTGGAGACACCAAATTCACAGGACTTGTTAACCTGTACAAGACCTCACTCAGGTCAAAGTTTGGAAGTTCCTAGGTCATGACCTTTGGGTCAAAAAAGGTCAAACATTTTCAAATTCCAGGTTGGTCTCCACAGGGCCTCTGAAACCTAGATAACTGTTCTATGCAAAAGATCACATGCTCATCTGAGGTACGTGACCCCGCTTGTCCTTTTGAAGGCCATGGTGACCAAAATCATACAGGACCGCGTTGAGTTTTGCATTCGGATAAGCGATACAGATTATGCCAGGCGGCATGTTCTTGAAAGAAAAATGTCGACCTGGGTCATTCTAGGCCAGTGACCTATTCCGACCTTTTAAAAGTCTATGGAAGGTATATAATACGGTTCCTGTTATCAACAAATTCGAAATAAGCACAAGAAACCACCCCATGCAGCAAGGCCTAGAGTCTTAAAACAGGTTGATTTTGACCTTGGCCTGACCTTCATAACTGACCTTAGGTCAATGCAATTTGTTCGTTCAATTGTTGTGTTGTCTCAGAAAATATATCAGAAACGTAAGGCTTCGTCTAACACTCCGTTGTTGGATAGATTGAGCTGTTCCCAACAAACTGCCTTCGCTGAAACCATGGCCTGATTTTGACCTACTATAGGTCAGCGACCTTACAAGGTACATCTAAATTTGTGATGCTAAATGATTCGGTATTCAATTGCCTATAGCTAGGACAAATCTGGCTGCTCAAAAACCATTCCGGAAAAAAGTATTCGGGGGTCAATTTGACCCCCACTCGATCGCGTGTTAATTAATACAAGTCATGCTATAACGGCCAGGGGTTTATGCTATGTGTTCATGCTATAACGGCCAGGGGCTTATCATCGGCAGACTGATCAACAAATACGTGGCGCATAGCAGTGGTACATCAAAGGAGGCACGGAGATGACATCGACGCGTCATCATGTCTTTAGTCCATACATATATTTACCATGGTTTCGGAAAAGTTCGATTACCTTTCATGCCTCCCATGGAAGACTGCCATCACTTTCTCGTTATGGTTTTGCCTCCCCCCCCCCGCCCCTGAGGAGACCCTGTGTGCATCGTCCGCCCCTGGCGGCGGGGGATCCCCGGCCGTGGTGGGCTCACCTGCTGGATTTTGCGCTTGATCTCGGGCAGCTGCCGCTGCGGGAACTGGTCGTGCGTGAAGAAGTCGTGCTGCAGCAGCTCCCGGCATCCGGGGCGCTGCTGAGGGTCCATCTCCAGGCAGTCCTGCGACAGGGCGGCCGCTGACACTGTTGTAGGCCTGTTACAGTCGCTGTTACAGCCGCTGTTACAGCCGCTGCTACAGCCGCTGCTACAGCCGTTGCCGTAGGCTTTGCTGTTACATGCGCCGATACATCCGCTGTTGCATCAGCTGCTACAGCCGTTACAACAGACGCTGCTATTACAGACGCTGTTATAGCCACTGCTACAGTTACTGTTGTACACATTGTTACATTTGCTGCTATAGCAACTGTTGAAGTTGCTGTAACAGCCACTGTTACAGCCGTTGCTGCAGTTGCTGCTGCAGTCGCTGATACAGTCACTGTCACAGCCGCTGCTACAGTTGTTGTTGCAGTCGCTGCCCCAGCTGTTGTTGCAGCTGATGTTACGGCTGATGTTACAGCCACTGTGACAGTCGCTGTCGTAGATGTTGTTGGAACCGATGTTGCATCCGCCGGCAGCCGAGGCACCGGCAGAGTCCTCGGGCTTCACTTAAACACGCACTGAGCCTGACTCCGCCTGTCTGTGAGCCTCCACTCCTAATCAGTGGAGCAGCACACGGCCAACCGGCCAACACCAGACCGGCTGTCCACACAGCAGCACATGGCCAACCAGCCAACACCAGACCGGCTGTCCACACAGCAGCACATGGCCAACCGGCCGACACCAGACCAGCTGTCCGCACAACAGCACATGGCCAACCGGCCGACACCAGACCAGCTGTCCACACAGCAGCACATGACCAACCGGCCGACACCAGACCAGCTGTCCACACAGCAGCATATGGCCAACCGGCCGACACCAGACCGGCTGTCCGCACAACAGCACATGGCTAACCGGCCGACGCCAGACCGGCTGTCCACACAGCAGCACATGGCCAACCGGCCGACACCAGACCGGCTGGCCACACAGCAGCACGACCACCGGAGCCGACGGACGCACCTGCAGGAAGTGCACCTGCAGCTCCGGCCACTGTGGGAACTTGGCGCTGAACCTGGGCCGCAGCACCGTGTTGAGTCGGAGGCCCGACAGCGCCGGGTTGTTGCTCATCAGCTCCACGTGCGCCTTTGAGAGGGGCCCTGCAGCGCAGACGGGTGTACTTTCACACACACTGCAGCGCAGGCGGGTATACTGTCACACACACTGCAGCGCAGGCGAGTATACTGTCACACTCACTGCAGCGCAGGCGGGTGTACTGTCACACTCACTGCAGCGCAGGCTGGTGTACTGTCACACTCACTGCAGCGCAGGCGGGTGTGCTGTCACACTCACTGCAGCGCAGGCGGGTGTACTGTCACACTCACTGCAGCACAGGCGGGTGTACCGTCACACCCACTGCAGCGCAGGCGGGTGTACTGTCACACTCACTGCAGCGTGCGGCAGATCGGGCAACGTGGGCCACTGCCGACAAAGGGCAGACACGGGCGGAGGGACACACTGCAGCCCAGCAGACGCAGACGGAGGGACACACTGCAGCCCAGCAGACACAGACGGAGGGACACACTGCAGCCCAGCAGACACAGACGGAGGGACACACTGCAGCCCAGCAGACACAGACGGAGGGACACATTGCAGCGAGGACGTACGCTCAGAAGACGTCGCAAGGGTGGGACCGGGCGTCCCCTGCTCTACCCTCCCAGTGGCCAGGAGAGCGGCGGACCAGCCCGTGAGCGGCCGGGGTCAGGAGTCAGGAGTCGTGTCTGTCTGTCTGTCGGTCTGTCTGTCTGTATATCTGTCGGAGACTAGTGGAGATCACGCCGTGCCACCGACAGCAGGGGGAAGCTGCCGCCGCCACGGACATTTTCTGATATTATGTGCTAAAGCTATAAAAGGAGCTCTGTTCGATATAGAGCTGAATATTGTCCTAATGCGCATATTGAAAATGCACGTTGTTATAAGCGAGGCCGCAGACTGAGTGAGCCGTACTTGAACTAAGATAAATTTATCACTTGGAGATACCAGCCCGACCCGGCCCGGCCGTCATGCTCTTAAAGCTAAAATGTACTCTGAGAACTTGCAATCACTCAAAACGGGTTCGTGCTAGGTGGAGCACCGATAAGAGAAATTAGTTGAAAGCCGAGCTTTTCTTAATGTCACACATTTGCACGTGAACTGTTTG